GGGTCCGCGAAGCCCTGCCTCATCAGGAAAGTCCCTCAATAAAGGTTGTATTTTTTAAGATCGAGAAAAAATGTTTCACTTTTCGGGCGAGTTTACTCACTTGTATGTCAATAAGATATGTCTACTTCACACGACCTTAGTTATATCCCTTTCTTCAATTATTATTATATCGAACCTATACCTTTCACCCCCCTTCACCATGAATGGGTACCTCCATCATCTCCGGCGATCCACAAGGAGTCTGCGAAACATCGAAAGTTGTGAACCACCTGCTCTACACCATGATAATCCTCTTTTGTGGTGGATTATGTCCCTTGTAATCGAAGGAGTGTTCAAGATTTTTAAAATTTCTACAGGGACAATTTTACGAGTGCATTCAAGTACCATTTCCTTGAAATTGAGCCATAGGTCGTCACTTCTAGCGACGGGTTGCCAGCTAGGTGCTCCAAGCTGTCATAGTTCAGGCTAAGTTGATCAATAACTGACTCTTCACTGGCTTCTTCAAAGTTCTTATTCGAAGTGATTTCAATTCTCCTGAGCTTAGCCCTCAAGAAGAACATAAAATGTACTATGCTATGGTCCGAAATTCCCGCGTTAGTATTGCAATCACATTCGTGGTTTATACGGTTCTCATTTATAAATATTAAATCCGAAAGAGTTTGTGATTGCCCACGCATTCTGGTGTGTCCCATAACAATTTGAGTTTAATTATGTGAGAAGACTATAATAAAAGCTTCTCAGCACATGATACTTCGTGGTCCCCAGATCCTAACGTTACACAGTCAATTCCTCCGAGATTAAAATAACTCATTAAAACAACCTTTTCGGAACTTACTTTCAATTTAAAGAGGAACTCACTTAGTTCTTGCAAATATCTACAAGGCATTTGCGGGGGACGATACAGTACACCTACAATTAACTCACCTTTTTTCATTTGGATGCTACACTATTCATTTTCTGTGCCTTGGGTTCTTTCGATTTCTGAAGGATTTAAATAAGATTTGACTACTAGAGCAACACCCCCTCCTTTCCTCTACATTCTCTGTCCTTTCGCTAGAGCACGTAACCGGGAGGTCCTATTGTATCATCTGTCACAGACGTGTCTAAACAAGATTCAGTGATAGCCATCACATCGGGGTCATGCTCTATTAAATAATGTTCTAGCTCGGAGGTTTTATTTGCGATACTTTTCGCATTATGATTAATAAATGGGACACTTTTTGCCTGTCCTAAACCAGGTGCCTGTCAATAACCATGTTCGGGTGAACATCCTTGTCTGGCTCTGTAAAGTCCAGCTCTCTGGTTTGTTTCCAATTCCCAAGCGTACGCCAGATATGCCAGATGCAGAGAGAACACTGAGAATTGATGGCTCAGTACCGACAAGGATATAGCGGTTCTCAGCAATAATGCCCTCAGGCGCGGCGTGATGCATACCTCTTGTATAATGCGCAGTTGGCATATCTGCATAGTGGCCCGCACGAACGGATGCATCTCAGATGTAACAGCATGCCGCTCGATCGTCGAATGCACAACGAAACCAAATTTCTCAGGATATCAGTGGCTCTGCGACCTTACTTGATCCAATGTGAGTGAATTTCGACTTATCAAGAACAGTTCTATCATGTTTATGTTTTCTCTTCCTTCGCTTTTTAAGCTGTTTATATCCATCACGTACAACGCTTACCAAGGGGTCAATTTGTCACCTTAGTAGATTGCTACTAGAGACGTCGCAAACATTCCGAGGTTCCAGCTCAAAAGGATTCGAAAGTTTCGAGACTCTTTAATGTTCGAATTTTAAGAATTGCCAAATTTCATACCCTATTAAGGATCGAACTCTAAAAAATAAAAATACCAAAGTTTTTTTTTTTCTTTTTGGTAAGCTGGAGGTACATAATTTAGAATCCGTTTACCTTATCATGTTCGCGAAAGTCGGAAATACTGTATTTATTGAACTGCGAAAACAATTTGCAGATTTCAAACAAGTTGGGAAAAGTTCGAAGATTTCGAACTTAATTTTGAAGTCTGAATCTGACTGTCGAAGATCGAAATCTGCAGTTTCAAATTAGGTTTTCACGAATTCAATAAAAATAATCGTGGAATTTGTGACAAACTTAACTCATAATGTTGCGCATATCATTTATGCCGTAAACACTTATTCCTGTTCAGTACTGTGGTGCTTGTGGTACCTGTTCTACTCACTCTTTATCGTAACTCATGAAACAAGAGTTGGACCGGCTTAACGGTTCAATAAAAAGCCTTGAGGCGGTCCGGTCAACCCATGTATTGCAATATAAAAACAAGCTCACACAAATGGGATGCTGTATGCAACAACAAAATACTCAGGATGACGTGTGCACATCAAGACATCTGCACTTCCCGAAAGTTTTATGTTGCTTTGGCCGTTTGTTTTCAGTGGGATGGTCCATGAGATGGAGAGAATACTGGAGACAGGTCAAGGTTGATGAGAACCCATAAATAGGTGCCCACAGCCCGCAAAAGCCATGATGGATCGTCATCAGGCTCAACATTTTGCTGGTGTATGGAACTTTTCTTCTTCAGTGAATGGAGATATTGGTCGCTCTAAAATGCAGCTGGTTACTTTAGCTCATAAGGACAGAACGAACGCCGAAACGCGTCGGCGTTGCGCTAGGAAACTCAACGCCCCTACGCACTGTTGCGTCTGAGAGCGTTTGAGTGCGTTGCGGCTGCAAGGAACCGGGACATACCTGCTTCTAATGTTGTTGTTGAAAACTTTACTGGACATAACAGGAAATATTGGGAATGGAAGGGGGAGTTAAAGAGATAGAGAGTGGGTGTGTGCCCTCATTCCAGGGCTCCAATTGCGGTTTGGGCATGCAGCGCGCGGGTCACCAGCAGCTTTTGCACATCGATGACTTCATTCTGCAGCCCCGCTTCCCACTCTTGAGTAGAAGGCTCCACCAGTGGAGCCAGTCCAGGGATCTCCTTACACTTCCAAGTAAATGATGCACGTCCGCCCAGGGGTCACAACAGAAGGGGCAGGCTCCCGTAGTGTACCGGTCGGGGTACCACTGGTGCAACTTGGCGGGGGTCACAAGAGTGCCCGTCTGGAGCCTTCTCCAAGTCCATTCTTCTTCCTTTCCAAGCCCCCCGCACGGGCTCGGGAATACGCGCCTGTCGAGTTTCTTCATTTTGAGTGCCTCGTTAAACGAGAGGTCCGTGTCCACTTGACCACCCGACTGGGACGAGTCCCGGAGAATACAGCCTCGGGCCGCAGCATTTGCTGCCTCATTCCCAGTGTTCCCCATGTGGCCAGGGGACCAGATCAGATGCACCCCCTGCACTTCCGTCTTACGTAGTATTCTATCAGCGACTGCGCATACCATCCCGCGAGCGAAATTTCCACATGCTTTCTGGGAGTCAGAGATGACAGTCGCCCTGGGGTTGCAAACAACCGCCAACGCAATCGCCGCTTCCTCAGCCTGCCCAGCCGACTCTACTCTGACCGAAGCTAATCTTAACACCCGACCGTGGGCGTTAGCCACTGCGATTGTGGCAACTCCGTTTACTGGGCCGCCACAGTTAACATATAGCGTTCCCTCTCTGTGAACCCATGTCTTAGACAGGGCTTCAGATCTGGCCTTTCTTCTGCCGTCGTCCTTTCCTGGTTGCATATTCCTCGGGATACGACTCACCACTATTTTCTTCCGTATTTCTGCTGACAGCTCGTGGTCGGGGACAGTACCCGTATGCGTTCCTCCCGGAACCGCCATCCCGAGTTTGTCCATGAGCCACGCCCCGTTCTTCGTGGACGCCAACCTCTTTAGCTGAGCCACGAGATGTGCTTCGTGAAGCTCATCTATCGTGTTGTGGACCCCTAACCTTAGTAATTTGTCGGTCGCTGTCCTCTCGGGAAGCTCTAGCGCACTTTTGTAAGCTCTTCTTATCAAAACGTCAATTTTTTGCCGTTCCGCTTTACTCAAGACCAAGGACGGTGTGGCGTAAGTGATTCTGGAGATAATAAAGGCCTGAACGAGTTGCATTGCTTCTTTCTCTTTTATGCCCCTCCTACGATTTCTTATCCTTCGAAGCATGCCACAGACCTGGGTGGTCATGGTGTCAAGTTTATCGATAGTCGACTTGTTGCCTCTGCCTTGTCGAATGAGCTGGCCGAGGATACGAATCTCCGTGGGTTTAGAGACCCGTTTCCCGCTCACCCAAACCTCAATCTGTTCCGACACACGTTCATAAGGGTTCCTCAAGACAAGTAATTCGGACTTCTTCGGTGCACACTTTAGACCGCACTCCTCAGTGTAGTCTTCTACAATTTTAGCAGCCGCCTGTAATCTTTCTTCGATCTCCGCGTCGTTCCCCTCCCGACACCACAGGGTGATGCCGTCGGCGTAGATGGTGTGTTCCACACCGGGAACCGCCCCCAGCGCCTCCGGCAAACCCCCGCAGAGCCAGATTGAAAAGAAGCGGAGATAGAACAGCCCCTTGAGGCGTCCCCTTTGAGCCGAGCTCGAAGCTATTGGATTTCATGCTCCCTAAGGTTAGAGTGGCCTTCCTGTCCGTTAGGAAACTCCGTACGTATTCGAACGTTCTCTGTCCGCAGTGGATCTCGTTCAGGCCTCTGAGTACGCTGGCATGCGAAACGTTATCAAAAGCCCCCTTTAAATCAAGAGCGAGAATACACCGTGTTTGTCCCCTGGAAGGGTTCTCCAAAAGATCTTTGTATATCCACAGGAGGATGTCCCGTGTTGAGGTACGAGATCTAAACCCAAATTGAGTATGGGGCTTGAAATTTTCCTTCTCCAAGTACCTCATGAGCCTAGTGTTTAGTACCCTCTCAAAGGTTTTACCCACGCATGAGGTAAGTGAGATGGGTCTAAGATTTTCTAGATTTAAGTTCTTTTTGGGCTTGGGAATAAAGCGAATGTCAGCGGTTTTCCAGCAAGCTGGCGTCACCCCCCTAGCCCAGTAGTGCTCGTTAAAATGATTAACTAGCTTCCCGAGTTCGCCTTCTTCCAAGTTATAAAGGAGTTTTACCGTGATGGTGTCGGGCGCCGGCGCGGTGCCCTTTTTCATGGCCCCGAGCTCGTACTCGAATTCTGCCACCGATACCGGCCTATCCAGTTCGGAGTTTTCGCGTCCTAGATATTCTAGAGTTTCCTCCGCGCGTTCAAGACACAAATATCTGCGCGCGAGTTGGTCCATGATTTGCTCTGTATCGTTGGGTAACTCGTATATGAGTTCAGCTATTCGACTGTCCGTAACCGACTTAGTCTTAATTGGACCTATGAGTTCCCTAAAGAGACGCCACGACCGTGCCGTACCGAGGCTGCCGCGTATAGAGTCACAAATCCCATACCAGTTGTTCCTAGAGAGGTCGACAGCATGGTCCTCCGCGTCCTTAGTTAGTTCTTAAATCTTAGTACGAATCTTCTTGTTGTGTCGCTGACGTTTCCACCTCTTGGTCAGACCACGCCGGGCCTCCCAAAGGTGGAGGAGTCTTGCATCCACAGCCGGGGTCTTCTCCGAAAGCTCAACCTCCGTGACAAAAGGGCGCAGGCTGGTGGTCACGTCCGCAGCCCACTCCTCAATGTCCGCCAGGTGCACTTTATTCTTTTCTCTTTTCTTCCTCCATTTGTCCCAGTCCGTGATCTTTGCGGTTTCAGTTTTTCTCTTGTATCCTGCCTCTCTTAGTGTCGTTTCAAGGATACAGTGGTCGCTTCCAAGTTGTTCTGCCAGGTTCTTCCAGTCGGCGCTCCCCACGTTCTTCACCAGCGTGAGGTCCGGGCACGTATCTCTGCACGTGCTAGTCCCCGTCCTGGTAGGCTGGTCAGGTTCCATGAGGAGCGTGAGGCGTTCCTGGTTGATTCCTTCGAAAAGTTTGCGTGCTTTCGGCGTGACGTATTTGTAACCCCATCCCGGGTGCGGGGCATTAAAGTCCCCCGCGATGACGAGAGGTTCCTTGCCGGCCGCCCTCACCGCGTTTCCCAGGAGAGTTCTGTAGTCAACCTTGTGAAGCTTGGGGTTCCCGTACAGATTCACTATGTGGATACCCCGGTCCCCATTCTTCACCGGGACGACCACCACATACCCACACTCCACTCCGCCCCTGTCCAGGTCCCTTTCCGTGGCTGCGAATGTCCTGTGGACGAGGGTCGTGAAGTATTGGGTTCCGCCGCCCGTCCGGTAGTCCATAATCTTTACGGGCTTCTTTCCAGGTTCCTGCAGAAGTATTACCGCAGGGGGATCGGTTTCAAGCGACAACCGAAGGTTGAGACTGGCCTGCTTCCGACCCATCCCCCTGCAGTTCCATTGCCATATTTTCAGATATGACTGTTTTAGACGACAGATGGTTATTCGTGTCTTCTACTGATTCCACTTCACGTCGTGCATCAGTTGGCGATCTTCTCTTCGCCCCTAGCTCCTGGAGCAGGGAACTTCTTTTTCGTTCCAAGAATGTAGATTTTTTCCCTCTTGTCCCAAGTTGCTTGAGCATGGACTCCCGGTTTCGCTCCAACGCTACCACTTTGTTAGAAAGCTGCGTGATTTTTTCCATTAAAAGCTGCGTGGCAGACTGCACCGCCTGTTTCACCGCAGCCTCAACGATTTCTCGAAATTGGTCCGTAGTGACCCCGGGGGTCCCAGAGCAAATGCTCTTCATTTCCACATCTTCCACTCCTTTACTCGGGGCATCCTGCCTGAGGACTTGTGTATGCTGGCTACTCCCGCTTGACCTCGGTGGCGGGTTATTCTTTGTCACATTGATATGGTTATCATTTTTCTGCACCTCGGGCCATTTCTCCTGGTCCCCCAGGTCCAAGTTCTTCCCGTCCCGCGACATAGATCTTTGATTCCAATTTTGCTTCTTCCCGCCTTTACGACTTTTCCTTTTCCTTTTCTTTTCGGCAAGAGGCGCCGGGCGTGACGAATTTCTCTTGCAGCTTGCTGATCTGCTGTGAGAGCGAGCACGCGGCCTTGAGCCACTCCGCTCCTTCGACAGCCAGCGCACCTGCTGTTCTCCGTTGCGGTGCCTCGAGCGGCTCCGTCCGGTTCTCTCAATTTGTCTCTTCTCCTTGAAAAACTTCTCAGGACAGTGACTGTCGTATGTTTCGTGCGCCCCTCCGCACAGTGCGCACTTCGGGACACATGGGTGTGCATCCATCGCTTGCGGGGCCCCGCACATCGCACACGCGTAACCCGTCGGTTTGCTGCACACATCCGTCCGATGGCCGGCCTCTCCGCAGTTAAGGCAGGCTGCCTTTGTCTTCTTGTATAGAAAGCAGGGCGTTTCCAGCCAGTTGAAAGTGACCGTGAACGGAACTTTGGTCCCGGCGAAAGTGATGAGCGCCGATTTGGACCTTCCGACCCTCCTAGCGTCGAGTATTTTGTGTCCTGGGGCCCTGATTTTCTCTCTGATCTGTGCATTGGACAGCTCCGGCCGAACCCCATGAATGACGCCACGGCATGCCTCTTCCCTCGGGGAGACGTGGTAGGCCTCAACGTCGAGTTGTCCGGACGGGAATATCAAACTTCTAAGCTTCGCCAACGCTTCGGCTTCGTCCCATATGTCCGTGCAGATCATAATGGTGTTTTGCTCTTCTAGCAACCGGACGATTGAATTCTCCACAAGACACCTCGGGAGAGAGTTGTGCACCGCTTCGCCGATCTGGTCCCGGCAGCTTTTCAAGTCGACCGCCGTCTTCCGTGGCTTCACAATGATCTTGTGCTTGAATTCTTTGAGGCTGGGAAGCCGAAACGGTTTCTTCGTCTCTTTCTTCTTGACCTCCGTTGCTCTACCGGTAGGTCCTCGGTCTTCCTTCCGCTGGTCATGGACTTCTTTCTTCTGGGTCTTCTTTCTATGCAGAACTTGTACCCAGCTATTGCTGGGTAGCGTGCCTACTTGCTCCTCCGAGGCGGTTTTCTGAATTCCATCCGTATAAAAGGGCCGCGACGCTGGATTTATGGAGTCAAAAACCACCTTGTCCGGATCGTATCCGGTCCTGGGGCTGAGCACGAGACCTTCCGTCGATATTACTTCCATCTTGCGTTTTACACCACCGCCGCGGCGGTTCCACGTGGTGACGCTTAGCTGGTTAGGGCCAGTAGGGCGGCCGCACCGAGCGAACTCGGCTCATCGCCCTAGTCGAGCAAGGCCCACCGAGGCTTAGCGAGGTTCCTCGTGGCTTCAAAACAAAATGCCTCTAAAATAAAAATATTCCGCTCACCAGCTTGAGGAAGGTATCCACATGAACTGGGTCACTAACGCTGTCTATCCAAGACTTCTTCTCGCACGGAAATCAAGAATTTCAGCACGAAACATCGGTTTTTTGTTGAGCCTTAATGAGCATGCGTCTGCTCGCCGCAACCTTCTTCTTCTTCCTTCCTGCTTCTAATGTTGCGTGCCAAGCTATTCCTTGAATTGGATAAGCACAGATCTGCCGGGAACTCGCTTTCGTTTCTCGACGCAACGCATTTAAACGCACTCAGACGCAACTGTGTGTAGGTGCCTTTACGTTCTGAAGCAACTAGGTTTATGAAGGACACCCCGACAAAGTGCCTCGGTTAATTTTCCAACCTGCAGACCAGAGATCAATAGACCCCCAGGCTATCTGGGGGTAACTTTGGAGTTGTACCACCACCAGCTAGACATAAGCCCTCCGCACGGGTCATAACAGTCAGATCGATCGAGGCGTGGGATTGGGCACGAGTGATGTGTCAGTGTCCGGCTGAAGCCCGTGTCCAATCGGCGCGTCGAAGGGCGGGCTCGGGCCCAATAGCCGAGGTAGCGTGATCCGACTCTGATGACGTTTCATAGAGGGAGAGGAGACTATGCGGAGGCCTTCTGTCTAGGCGGTGTTGGTGGCACATGGGAGAGGCTCTGTGCCGAAGCAGAATTAACGAGATTCCAGGCACCAGGCCTAGGCCTTTCAATAAGCGATTGTTCGGCGCTTTAAAAGAGAGTCGTCAGTGGCACAACCACATAACTGAAACTACAGTGCGATTTTCACTCCAATCAACACATTCATACGTTGCGTGTTCTTTTTTATATATTACTTGCCGCAATTTTTTAGAGGGGAACTCGGTTCGAACTTGGTCGAATTTTTTCAGGTCTTCAAAGTTTGACGCGCTTTTAAACTCAGCAGTCTTGAAAGTTCTAAAATCGTCGAATTTTAGGGGCGAAGCTCCTTAGGGTCTAGCTTTGTCTGTCCCTCCGTCCGTCCGGCCGGCCAGCGTCCGTGCTCACATAAAAAGAAAAAAAAATTTTGCGCAGTCGACAGGATTCGTCTCTATGCGGGGAGACCCCAATGGATTTCTAGTTCATCGCCTTAACCACTCGGCCACGACTGCGGGACGCGTAGGGGGCTCTGAGATGTGATAGTTAACTCGAGAGCTGGGAATCTCATGGATGAAACGTTGCATGTAGCCGCTCAACGTCTCTACAGGAGAGGGCGCTGCGGTCAAATGCGTATATAATCGCGTTAAACTTTGCATGCATTGGCTCAACGTTTATAGACGAGAGGGCGCTGCGGTCAAATGCTCAAATGCGTATATAACCACGTTCCATACCACACATTCTCTTTCTGATATGGACCGTTGACTCAAGCGGTGGAGATGCGTTCCCGCGGCTTCTAGCGGATTCAACCTGATCCACTAGAAGAATCACTGGCTCTGCATTTCACCGACCATAAAGCAGTAATAATGAAGTCGAAACGCAACCCGGAACTCAGCACTACCTATGAGCAATAAAAAAAAAATCAGCACCATCAGCACTACCTATGAACAATTGGCGACGAGCGCGACCGAAAGCGTCGCTGTGGTCGGCCTTCCACGATTGGCCGAACGCTGACTTATGACGTCGGAAAGGGTATATCATCGACGGAAATAAGAGGAATGAAAGAACTTTAATTTTGACGGTGTTGGCAGTGTTCCTTTGAGAGCGCAATGATTTCAAGGTTCCACCGTGCTATTTACAAACACCATCGAACTTGTTGTTTGCAAGGTAATGCCGTCACAAGGGGGAACCGTAGGAGGGCGCCACCATAACTTCTCGCCGCTAATAAAATCAGTATCGTCAGCACCACCAAGAGCTTCGCCCCAATCAACATCATTCACCATGTGGAGATGCGGTCATTTTGTAAGAGGGATAAATTTGAATGTTCGAAAATTGACGAATTTTTAGAGCAAAAAATTCGGAAGTTCGAAAA